CCGATGGGCCTGTCGAAACTCTTGAGACTGAATACACGCGCCATGCCGGCATCAGTTCGAGACAGCTCTCGAGCTTGTCGACTTTCCGCGCTCGTCTTCCTGAGAGCGGTTGATGACAATCTGGCTGGCCAATCTGCAAGGCCCTTTCGTTACGCCTGTTACTTCACGTGTGACCATACCTTTTGCAACGCCTGTCTCAAGCAAGCTTGCGAAGGCAGCCACAGCTGTCCCGTCGATAGAAGGACCTTTCGTGTCAAGCATATTGCCTCTGCCTTCAGGTTGATTCGGAATCTTCTCGATAAACTCATTGTCGAGTGCCCAAATACCGAAAGGGGCTGCGCCGAACAGGTCAAACGGGAGGACGTCCTTGTGCATGTCCACGACAAGTGCGAATATACCATGATGTCCTGTCCGGATCCTGGTTGCGATAAAAGACTCCCTAGGTGGCTGCTCTACCAGAATGAGTCGACATGTCTTCACGAGGAGGTGGCCTGCGAGCATTGCGAAGGCCTCGTCGAGCGCGCCGTGTTACATGAGCACCTATCCAAGGCCTGCACTCGCAATACCAAGGCCTGCATCTTTTGCGACGAGATGGTTCCTATGCCTGCTATGAACAAGCATGTCCTGGACGAGTGCCTAGAGTTTGCGGCGCCCTGCAAGTACACAGACTTTGGCTGCCGGCAGACCGCCAAGCGTCAGCAGCTGCGCACCCACCATGAGAGCTGCCCCTATCAAGTCTGCGACGTCATCGGGCAGACCCTCAAGCGGCAGGAAGCCGAGATGAAGCGACTGCAACGTGAGAACGACAGGCGTGACAAACAGATCGAAGAGCTGCAACGTCAGTTCCAGGAGCAGCAGAGCGGCAGCTCCTTAGACATTATGCGCCTGAGCCCCTATAGTCGTAAGATCGGAACCGCCGAAGAGGCTGTCATGGGTGTTTACGAAGACGTCGAGCGTCGCATCGAAACAGTCAAGAAGGACCTGACTGACCTTGAGGGCCGGCAAACAGTGATGGTTCTCAACGAGGTTATGCCCATTAAAAACGAGATCACGGAGATACGCAGCAACCTTGGTATCCTAAAGATGCACGTGGCCTGGCTCATGAATAAAAGCCGCGAAGAAGTAGAGCGCAGTCGACTGGCAAACCGGACCATGGGAGGTGCCTCAGGCGCTGGCTCTGGAGGTTCTTCGAGTACTGGGGGAAGCAATGGTGGCGGGGGAACGGTCAGGATAGTCGGCCGTGGGAGAGGGGGCTCGGACAGCGAGGCAGAGGGTCCATCAACTCTGAGAGATTGAGTGATGGTCTACGCGTCCCGCGACTCTGAGTCGTGCGTTTGGTAGTGATGCAATGTCAGTGCGTTTTGAGCTGCATGTAATACCTTTCGTCTGTACACGATGTCTCTCAGCTCAGACTCTCTTGACTGATCTAGCTTTTTCTCTCGCCAATGCATTTGCTTTCGGGACAGAGATGGCTCTCATTGCGGAGTTGACCCTGTCCCGACAAGTCCATGAAGACTCCGTCTGACGCGCAAGATGAAAGGATAGGTACCTAGGTAGGTAGGTATGTATCGGACTTTGGCGGACTTTCCTCCCCGCGCCATCGCCTTCGCCCCCACCTCCACTGAACAAGGCGAGGACCCCCCAGTCAGTGGGAGCTTCAGGACCCCACTTTCTTTACGCTACCACCTGTCGGCCACCACCACTTCGACTTCGTCATCGCGGACCCTGTAACGCCTTCTCCATCTTCAACCTCGCGTGCCTCAACCCTCATCCCGCGGCGATTGTCTTCTCTACGAAAGCATAAGAAGCTGTCATAATGGACCCCTCACAGGATCCCAGCCAGCTCCCGGAAGCCACACCGGATGCTCCAGACCGCAACACCATGGAACAAGTTTGTCTCTCAGCCTCGGGATTACCAAGCTTGGTTCCATCTGGTTCTGAACCGCCCACCGCGGACATTTTGATAGCTGACCATTTTTGTCCCCTCTCAGATCCGCCTGAGGCGGCTTGCCAAATTAGGCACAGCTTCACCGAAACCCTCCGAAGAAAGCGGCTCCTCCACTAAGCCAGAGGGCACGTCCACAACTCTGTCAGCACCGACCCCCGAACAACGCGCATCGCCGGCCGCTCAGGCGAGCGAGAAGCGCAAGATCAACGTTACGCCGACACCAGCAGACAAACCGCAAGTCTCTTCCTCCCCGTCCTCGACCATCCCGGATCGATCGCATAAGCGGGCCGCTGCGAAGATTGATGACCGCCCACAGGCCACGCAGCCGGCAACCAAAAAGCCCAACATGGCGCCCGAGGAGTCTATCGATGACTATACCCACCGCACCGTCAGTTCATTATTCCGAATTACCTTGAATTCCAGTCAAACGGATGACGGCCACGGCCACCAAACCACATTCCTGCCAGGCGTAGCCTCCGAACTTGCCGAGGTCGGTGCGCCCGCCAAGTTCACCGTGGCAGTCCTCGATACGACGTTGTTGGAGGCAGCTACGGCGCAACCGCACGCGACGCCACTTCTTCGGTACTTGCTACCATGCTGGAAGAGAGTCAGTCGAACTCTGGCCTTGCTCAAGGATGGTGAGAAGCAGAAGAGAGAGGTCTTGGAGGAGGCGAAGAGACTCTGTATGAGCTACTGTCTCTTTGCGCTGACGATTCCTGATCTGTTCGGGTATGTACGCTCTGGGGTTTGAACTTCTCGACCCGACTCCTTATTGACTGTCTGCCCAGGCGACCCCAGCCCGACGACCTCGTAACATTTCTCCTCAGAAGCCAAGAACACGAAGATTCTATCTCCATCGACTTCACCAAGGATGTTATTTCCCGATTTCCGGAGGACGAGCAGTACCCCGCCGTGTTTGCAGATGCAATGGCTGCTATCAGCGTGAAGCTGTCTGATATGAGCATGGAGTCTGATTACCGGCCCTACTTGAACGTGAGTTACACTGATTATGGCGGCGTAGCTGTTGCTGACCTACCCAGGCCTTGTCCTTTTATGCAAAATTCCCTCCTCTGCTAAGGGCGGTTTCCGAGCACGAAATGTTTCTGTCAGCCACCACTGGCCCAGAAGTGGAGAGGAAGACCATACTCGGCCCTTTCTTCCGACTGTCGCCGCTTCAGTCCGAGGTCAGCCTTACATACTTCCCGAACCCTCGCTCACTCGATAAGGGGAGGGCAGCGCAGTCACAAGATGCTCTTCGTGCCATTCTGCGGGTATATCAGGATGAGCTTTTCGCGATTGCCAACGCCTTCATTCGTGCTGACTCTGATACGAGAAACCGCATGCTCGACTGGTGCGCCCTCGGCGTCAACACTAATCACAAGCGAAGAGCCATCCAGGTCGACCCTCGGGAGGTATCTTCAGACGGCTTCATGGTCAACTTGACTGTCATTCTCGACCGCTTCTGTTCGCCCTTTATGGACACAACCTTTTCCAAGGTTGACAGGATCGAGGTCGACTATTTCAGGCGCAACCCTAGGGTAAGTATCAAGGACGAGACCAAGATTAACGCCGACCAAGCCGCCTCAGACGCCTTCTATGCCAACGCAGATTCCAAGAGCTCCAACTTCATATCTGAGGTTTTTTTCCTGGCTCTGGCTGCCCATCACTACGGCAGCGGCGCGACCAACTCGAAGCTGAAATCCTTGGACCGAGACATAAAGTTCTACGAAAAGCATATCACGGCCATGGAGGCGGAGCGATACAAACTGGCTAATGTGAGTATACGAAATTCAACGATGAACGATGTCATTGCTAATGATAACGAGAATCCTGCTCGACTTGCCATGTTCGAAGTCAGCCTCAAAAGGCATACAGATGTCTTGGAGAAGGCAATCGCGTCCAAGAACGCTATTGAGGGTGTTTTTCTCGACGATAAGATGCAAGAATTGTCCTTGCGGTTCATGAAGTATGTCGCGGTTTGGATGCTGCGTCTTGCCAGCCAATCGGCCTATACACCGGAGAAGGACCTTGCACTCCCGCTGCCTTCGCCCCAGCCGGAGGCGTTCGCATGTCTGCCCGAATATGCTCTACAAGATGTGGTAGACAACTTTAAATTCGTATACCGGTGAGTGGTTTCGAGCTGAATGAAGCGCCTCCATCGTGTATACTGATCGCCATACAGATACCTACCTCAGATTATGCCGTCAGCTGTCGGCAGCGAAATGATTGCTCTCTGCATTGCATTCCTTCAATCATCAGAGTTCATCAAGAACCCATATCTCAAGTCCTCCTTAGTCACACTTCTCTTTTCCGGAACCTGGCCGTTCTCCCACTTCAAGAAAGGGGTTCTCGGCGACCAGCTGTATGGCTCAAAATTCGCCAACCAGCATCTTCTCCGGGCCCTGATGAAGTTTTACATTGAGGCCGAGTCCACGGGTGCACACACGCAGTTCTATGACAAGTTCAACATTCGGTACGAGATCTTCCAGGTCATCAAGTGTGTCTGGGGCAACGACGTGTACAGGGAGCAGCTTGCACGCGAGAGCAAGGTCAACCGACAGTTTTTTGTTCAATTCGTCAACTTGCTTCTCAATGATGCCACATATGTGCTTGACGAAGCCTTGACCAAATTCCCCAAGATTCATCAGCTGCAAGCTGAGCTAGAACAGAATCCCGGCATGACGCCTGAAGATCGCGAAAAGAAGCTCGAGGAGCTGCAGACTCTGGAAGGTCAGGCCGGATCGTATATGCAGCTGGCCAATGAGACCCTGGCCATGATGAAGCTCTTCACCTCGGCACTCGCCGATGCTTTCACAATGCCAGAGATTGTGCAGCGGTTGGCGAGCATGCTCAACTACAACCTCGAGACGCTGGCGGGCCCCAAGATGGGCCAATTGAAGGTTAATGATCCTTCCAAATATCACTTTCAGCCGCGAGTGCTGCTGTCCGACTTTGTCGATATTTACCTCAACCTTGCCAACTCGCAGGCCTTCATCGACGCCGTCGCCGCCGACGGACGCTCGTACAAGCCTGAGACTTTTGACAAGGCAGGATTCATTCTAATGAAGCGCCACATGAAGGACGATGTCGAGCTGAAAAAGTTTGATGCCCTCAAGAACAGCTTCAAGGAGTCCAAGGCCATCGCCGACCAGGCGGAACTAGATCTCGGCGAGATCCCTGCAGACTTTGAGGATCCCATCCTTGGTGACCTGATGAAGGACCCCGTCATCCTGCCTTCACAGCATGTCGTCGATCGCTCGACCATTATGCAGCACCTTTTGTCTGACCCGAAGGACCCCTTTACACGTCAGCCGATGACGATCGAGGACGTGGTGCCTGACCAGGCTCTGCGGAACAGGATCGAAGCCTGGAAGGCGGAGAAGATTGAGGCTGCCAAGGCCAAGGTTTTGGGCGACTCTATGGATACAACGGACGGATGAGAGGTCGGCTGGGCAGGTACCCACGCAGGCAGGAATCACGATGTGCATATTTCAAGGGTTGGCACATGGAGAACAAGAGAAGTCACTAGAACATTGTATGCATCATGAAATGAACAGAGCCACCGAGCTCGGAACTAGTAAACGCGAAAGGCCGTCGCATCGTAAGTGAAATGTAAACTTGACTGCTCCGTAGACCACTAGGCAACTGTCCTACACATTTGCATAGCACACGCTAGGGGCCAAGGGATGTGGCCAGCCAGAGAGAAGCGAGACCCTTGTCTCCACCCCCCCTGCTCGCGACGAGTGATGAGGGGATTTCGGTGTGACCAGGTTCGCGGAACCGGCTCCCACCCGCGCTTCTGGCCCCACTTCTGTCGACCCTAGTTTGCCGGCCAGTCGGAAACGGAGACGGCGCGGCACGAAATCGACTTGACGCGACATTCGTGACCAGTGCCTACCTACTTAGGTTTACCACCTGGACCAAGTATCATTGACAATATGCAGGGAAACCAGGGTGAGGGGATGGATGTGTGAAAAAGCAGTGCACGAAGACTCCAGCCAGCCTTAAAATTGACTTTCCGCAATGTGATGGAACGCTGCCATGGGACTAGATTCTGTCTTTTGAACATCGGACGGTTTCGACATTGTGCAATGTACTCGACCTGCCAACGAAGAGGGTAATGCCAGGGCAGTGAATATTTGTCTCGACACATGGTAGTGCGCGCACCCACCCACCTACACACACGCACACACATACATGCACACTCGAGAATCTCGGAGGAGAAACATGGGATGAAGCTGAAATTGGAGCAGCCGGAGCTACTGGATGGCACGCCATCACTAACCAGCTAGCGCATTGGTCGTAAAACAATCCCTACTCCATTCGCCAAACATGGTCGAGACATAAACGCAGACAACCCAGCACACGATATCTCGCGATCGCCAGGCTGTATTTCAGACATGGTTGTAATGTCTCGGACGAGGATTCCGGTCGACTGATTCAACCAATCAAGTCCAACCAAGTCCCCAGATAGACAGACCTCAGACCCCTCCGGCCGGCCTACGCCCCCTTTTCTTCCTTACTCGCTCGCTGTGGCTGCGCCACGTCAGGAAACATTAAGAGAACAATAAGAGCGAATGTGGTGTATGGGCCGCATTCCGCCGAGCCCGCATGCAGAGGAAAGGATGCCGCCATGATCCTGATATAAAAAAATGAAGGGGAATGGGTGGTTCCCAGTATTTGGAGCGCACGTCTCACCCGTGTCTGCCAGGTCCCAGCTATGCTCAACCCGGGTAGATACTCATACAATATCCTGACTCCCTCATCATGCTGCCTATGCAAGGTAATCTACCTCACGATCACAGGCCGGATTTCGTCGTGAATCGTGAAAGAAAGACACTCTTGAAAGACAGGAGCAAAAAAACAAAAGGATTCTTTCTCAAGAAAAGCTCTGAGGCCCCCGATGTCTGGATATGTGAGGTAAGCTTAGATAATGTTGGCGATACTCAGTCGATCTTGAGACCGGGTCGCGCTGCTTGCTAACGGGCTATTTCCGCTGCTGCTTATCACCCCCGCGCTCAACAAAGGGGCGCTGCCAGGTGTGGGCGGCGGTGGGAAGCTACCCCCACCCTCAATCTTGATGGCTGGTGGCAGCGGTGCTGCCCAAGTTGCAGAGGTCGGTGTCGGCGTTGAGTTCCCAGATGCCAAGCCCCTGACTGCGGCGTCCAAGCGACTCCATCCACCCCACTCACTGATCTCTTGATCTGTGAGACCAGTTCTCTGCTGAGCACTAAAGAGTCCGCTTCCAGCACCTGCCCCTGACATGATGGTGCCTGGTGATGTGGGGGAGAGAAAGCCCTCACGCTCTCCGCCCGCCCAGACCCAAGCACAGTTGGGAGCAGCCTGGAGGTCAGCGCTCACGTATGCGAGCAGCTCCTCATCCCGCAGTAGTGCATCTTGCAGTGCCCGAGGACCACTCATAGGCGGAGGTGGAGGAGGTGCAAATGTCGATCTGGGAGGCGTTGCCCTTGCAAGGAGAGCGGCGTGTTCAGCACGCTTCGCTCCCAACGTTGTCACGAAGAATGCGAGGAACCTTCCACAAGGCAAAGCCACATCTCTCCGCGCGTCGATGGAGGCCAGTGATCGAACGCATACGACGGCTTGGTCCCAGTGACCAGAAAATAGAAGAAACAGTGCGCAGCGGAAGATATGGGACGTGAGCAATGCCGTAGCTCCGTCAGCAAGGGTCGTCGTTGTCCGCATCAGAAGTGCCGCCGTTTCAAGCGCCGTGTGAGTACATTGCTCAATAGCGGCAAAGCGCACCTCCGGGGGGCATGTCGGGGCCAGATTATGTCGATGCAGTACGAGTCGCGCGTGCAAGACGTAGGCATACGGCGCGAGAAGATGCGGGGACAGCGATGCCCCGCTGGAGGCGTCACAAGCCGGGGGGAAGCTGCGGCAGTAGTTGACAAATGTCTGGTCGAAAGTAGCGAGCCGGGACGGCGCAACCATGGGGGCCGCAAGGGTCTTGATGAGGGCCGAATACGACCTAACCACGTTGATTATGGCCAAAAGCGAGTGGTTCAGAGGCTCCCTTCCGGGGGGGACAACGATACCTCCCTCGTGAATATAGTGGTCGTCCACGCCAGCCGGTAGCGATACGTCGCAGTCGCTGTCGTCAATCATGATGGGCCGGCCAAGCTCTAGAGCAAGACTTCGATCCAAGATATACGTCGTCCACCAGACCCTCCTCCTCATCTCCCCCTCTATGACGGGCCAAGGCCCGGACTCAGAATGGAGCTCGAGGTCCTGGCCTATGCGTACGGCACTTCCCAGCCAGGTCCAGGCTGCCGACTTGAGGTTCATCTCATTGAGGCAAACAGATATAAGTAAAAAGGCACGTGCATTCTCCAACGCGTAGTCGTTGTTCCAGGGATCAATCATGTTGCGCGCCACCTCGAGCAGCTCCGCAGCCCGGTATGCTCGATGTGTGCTCGGGTCAGGGGCAAACAAGCTGCCCAAGGCGAGCGCGGCGAAGAAGGTCGAAAGCCAGGCAGGTTGGAAGGACTTCTGGCTGCCGAGACGATACAAGTCGTCAACACCACTGGAAAATGTTGGCCAGTGTAGAATGGGGAACATTGTATGCGCAGAGCCGTAAAAGGAATGCAGAAGTTGATCGGTGGTTTGCCGCGGTGGGAGCTCTGGCCGTTGCGGGTCGAAGAGAGGACTGGGCGCCGACTGTCGATACTGCACAGGGGACTTCCAGATGCCTCTTGAGAAAGCCTGCAGGTTCGACCGGACAGTAGAAAGGTCGTGCATTGGGGTCGGGCGTTTTCTGCGCTTTGGATTCGCGCCCATCTCGGGCAGCTGAGGAGGTAGATGCTCCATGCCCTCGGCGTCCACATCCATCTGTCCCTCTCGTTCCTGAAGCATGCGTCTGAGGTTACCGTTATCCCTCCGTAACCTCTCCATCTGCTTCTCGAGATCCTGCACCTGCTTGATGGACGACATGCGCCGATTTGTCTCCTTAGTAAACTGGCATTTGACGCTGCGACTGGAACACTCCGAGCAGCTGCTCGTTTCCGTAGCGTCGCATTTAACCTTCCTTTCCCGACAGGCATCGCAGCTGGGGTCCTTTCGGCGTTGGCGGTAGGCCCGCTTCTGCGCTTGGGACATGGGCGGCAGGGAGGCATTGGACGGCCCCGGTGTACTGGCTACGGAATCGGCCGATGGCAGAGAGTCCCGTCCTAGCATCGAACCGGCCGTCATGGGGGTGTACGACTGAAAAGTGTTCTGGTTAATGGAAGGCAGGGGAGGGATGCCAATGGGCTGAGGCGGCGGTGCCGCCGTCGTTCTAGGGCCAGCGTTCATCGCTCCTCCTCCGAAGTACTGGCTCGTCGGTCTCGGCGACGGGGCGGAAGATACTGACGAGGAGTCGTACGACCGGTGTGACAAGTTTGGAGATCGAGAGTACGGGTTGTGTGACGATGCAGATGCAGCCATATCGGATGGCCGAGTAGAAGACCAATGCCCTGTCGCGAGCCTCGGGACGGCCCCCACAATGTCCCCTGGATGTTGAAATGGAGGGAGTTGTCTGTCGAGAAACATGCAGGCTGACGGTGGGAGGCTAAAATGAGAGTGTCGCTGGTGGCCGTGTAGGCACACTTGTATAGCCGTTATAGCGTCGTGCTGCTGGGCGAATCTCAACGCCTGCGTGGCACGCTTCCGAAAGCTGTAGGGGCAATGCTTGTTGCCACGAGGTGCAAAGTGAGAAATCCGAAGTGCAAGTGGGGGGTCTGAACGTGTACTCTCGTTGAAGGCGTACCCCCGAAATGCAGCGGATAGTGATTTGATTGACTGTATCCCGTTCAGGGCCGGAATTTGAGCTTTGCTGGTGCTACCGCCTGTCTAGTCGTCCGACCTTGGCACTGTGGTCAAACTGACCATCGATACCCAACAATCTAGACGGACCGGAACGCAGCACAGCCGTTGTCTGCCGGTTCACAGCAGTCACAAGACGGGCTATATGCCATGCGATAATATGAACAGGTGAGGGGCGGGGCTGCCTCAACGGGTTTGAAGGTTCGTGGTGGGCAACTGGTTCTCTCTGGTCCTGGTATGCGCGCGGGGCCTAAAAGCACAGAGACACGCTACCACCGGCAATCATGCAAATGATGGGATGAAGGACTGGTGATAAACTGTAGTCTCTGACACAAGCGGGCGTTGTCCTGCGCGGTCGAAACTGTGGGTTGTAGGGGTAGAAGGCGCGAAGTTATACAGCGAAATGTTGTCCAAGATCGGGCCAGGCGGAGAAAGGGAAAATGGCAGAGGAAGTTGTTGAGAGGCCAGATCAGGTGGCCAGAGGAGGGTATAATACTGAGCGTGGCTGGCGTCGAAATCGTGGACGTTGAGTAAGTGCCAGGCGAAGTCAGTTAGCCGCGTAAGAGAAGACGGGAAGTGGGAGAGTGTCAAAATCGCAGAGACGCTGGCGCAATGTGTCGAGAGGGTCTGGCAGGGTTAGATACTCGGCCGTCACTGGACCAGTCGGTGCCGCAGGCGCTGTGTGAGTAGTCGGCACGGCTAGTGACGATGGTCTGCGATCCATCGAGCCACGGGCTGAATCCGGGGCCCTCCGCGCGTTAAAGCAGATTCGGGAAAATTATCTGGAGTGGTGGAGGGCCTTCAAGGATCCCCTGGCTGCGAGCACGGCGCAGGGGCTGGCAGACAAGCAGGGCTGTGAGTGATGCTCATCAGCCAGAGTCGTTAACGTGTTTCGACTGAGAGGGGAGTGACATGGTTACTGGGGAGCCTGGTCCTGGTCATTCGCTCTGTTGTTGGCTCGTCAAAAGGCTTGGCACCCTCCTCTGGATCCTTGTATCCCTCCAGTAGCCTCCAGGAGACCTCGATGCCCAGGGTCTGGTTCGGGGGACGGACGGCGACTCAGTCCAAAAAACAGGGTCCCTGGCCCGCGACTCAACAACGGCGTCCCGTACTACGACGGCACCGTCCGCCTACATATCTGAGCTGTTCCGGCCGGGTTGACCTTGTCGCGACGTGTACGGGCAACATTCAAGCATTACGGCGTGTGTAGCGCGCTTCATCATTCTGCCAGGCGTGCGCTCCAACCCATTGCGCTGACTCAAGTTTTCGGGTGGTCGAGTGTAAGCTCAGGGGTGCGAGAATTGAAGGGGTGGTGTCTTGTGGTGTGCCGCCGCTTCAGGAAGCATGCAACCCTGCCGGCAGCTTTTCCAGAGATGGCTATACTGGGTCGTCCACTCAGCGGCCTCGCATGGAGCGGCGTAGCAGGCTTTGGGCAGGCAGTATGTGGGTGGCCCCTGCGCTCGCCTTCAAGGTATTCAACCCGTCAACTCCGTTCACCAACCGAGCTGATCCTATTTTAGAATGATGTGCAGAAACATAGTCCTCCTCGCAGCTTACTTGGAATGGACCCAGACGGAGTCCCCAGTTGGAGAGGATGACTGCCGGGACATTCCAACAAGGTCTGTGGGACGAATAGGGGACGAATGGGGGAGAATTGGCTAACGATCTCATGGCAACAATAAGGTGTCGTACCCTGACAGGATCAGGCGTCGAGGAACGAAACGAGACAGACTTTACTTGTTGCCGAGACCTGGCGGTATCGCGGTCCAGGACGACGGACGGCCAACTGGGCACCCCGCCTGTTTGCGACGTGTTGGAGCCTTGTCCGCCGCCGCCACATTGCTCGTCGGGGATTTAGCTGACACGGCCCAGAGGCCGCTGGTCCGTGGTCGATGTTTCGTGGCAGGCATGGCTTGGGCCACGCCATGGGCGGGTCGATGCTGTCATAACTTTCGGCACAACGTCCGTGGTACTTGATCATGAGTTGGCACAGCAGGGAGGGATGAATAAGTGAGCGCTGCATGCAAATTGTTCAACCTCCACGATTGTGTAGGGGACGACTCAGGAGTGCCGTGTGATGAAGGCTCATACACACCCCCGGAAACCAACTGCACACTCCGATGCACCACGCAGCTGCGTTCGACGTGCTATTTCTAGTCATCCATCAGGTTATCGTATCTGTCATCTTCATCCCCCCTCGTCCAATATCGGCATCGTCTCTTGGTGAAGGGCAAACAGCCACTGATGCACTACTGGATGACCAGGCAATAGAGGCAGAGTGAGCAGTGTGGCAGACAATCCGCGCGCGCTTGTTCTTGACAGGCCACGGTTGATGCATCGGTCAAGGCACTATCACTGGCAACGGTTGCTGGCGCCTTCACACGCGTGGCGCTGAAGAGGATGCGCGCTGGCGTTCGGTTGCCAGCGAGCAGCGCAGGGGGCAGGGGTAGTACGGCAAACTGTGTTGCTCTCGATCGATTCAAGGCTTCCGCGTGTTGAACTAGTCACTTGCTGGACATGCTTGGGCGGCGTCGGCGTCGGCCAGAGGGCATTGCTGGGGGGCCGGCACGTCTGGCAGGGGATCGGAATGAGCTGGGGCTTTCTTGGGGCCCGCCTGTGGAGCACGGGAATCTGCAAGGTGCCGGAAAGGAACAGCGCCGGCTGGCTAGACCAACAGTTCAATCCACGAGACGGGCTGGCTGTTGACCAGGGGTGGGTTAGAGGGTAAGCACGCGGAACTAGAAGGACAAGCCATATGTGGCGATTTCACATACCTGGAGCTTCTGGACATGACTTGTCTTGTCCCCCGTGTGGCGAGTGTGGTGGTACCTTAACTTCACTGCTGTCTTGGGCTTCTGGACGCTTGTGGCGCTGGCTGCATCCTTGACAAGCAGTGTAGGCCGTATCTCCAAGTCCATGGTAAAGTACGATCGTTAGGTGGTTGTGCGGTGTTGAACGGTAAAAGAGCCGAGGACAACTGCTCGGATAGCAATTGGGATTCGGCGGTCGTCCGTTTCATCGGGTCGAGGTTTTCTGAGTCTCTGGACAGAGTCTTTGAGTTAACAGATGCAAGGGCCGATGGAACCTGCCGATGTTCGCATACTCCCCACTGCATGGTGGAAGCACAGGCTAGTCAGTGTGGGCAATTCGATCATAAGAAGAAGAGAGGCAGAAGCCACAGTGGAAGAGGTTACGAGCTGGCCACGCCAGGTAGAACAAGAGCAGGATTCCGTGGGTCGTTATGCGCTCAAGATACTGGGGCCCGCGTGTGCAGAGTTGGGAGAGGGTGTTTGCCCCCCCCTCTCCCACGGGGAGGATCCAGTTCATGTGAGTTGTTTCCCCCAGCAGACTCCTGGCGTGGTTGACAAGTGGGCACAACGACGGCCGGCGCTGTACCCTCAGTGGGTTGCAATTTTGGAGGGAGGGGATGGTGGTTCCGCCGGCAGACGGTGCGGGATTTGGTACTTCTTGGTTTGTCTCAACCAGCACGTCAGCAACACGGCGGTAGGAGAGCTAAGCTTCTCCGCCGACAACCGAGCATTGCGCTGTGAGGGTGTTGGGCCAGCCAGTGGTATGGCCTGGTTGCATCCGCCAATGCATCCGCCAACGTCGACGCTGTTAGTTGGGCAGAAGCATGGAGTGTATGGGTGTGAGAGAGAGGGTGTGGGCTGTGTGGATTTCCCGCCGTGCTGTTCGCCGTAATTGTGGCGGCCCTGGTGTGTGTGGTACCAGTGGCCGGGGCGAAGTGATCAAGGGTGGACACATGCGCCGTAGCCGTGGCCATGGCTGTGGTCTCAGTTGTGCTGGCGAGGTGTTTTCCACAGAGCTGGTGCTGGTCTTGTGCAGTCCTGCGAGCAAGCAACACGGGGTGGTGGTGGTGGTCATGGGTGGTCTCGGTGGCGGCAAGCGGCAAGCGGGACGGTTAGGTCGGAGTTCGGATCAGCCAAAACTCTGTTCTGTCGGCTACTCATGACACCCACATGGCTGATGAGATTGGATGATGCACCACTGTCGACCGGAGAGAGCGTCGTCGGGACCTAGCTCTCCTGTTGCATGTTGCCTAGTCCGCCGTGAGACTGTGGGGTCGGGCATCGCTTGGGCGAAGGAAGCGATTCACGATTCTGCCATCGTCGCGACAGTCTCGACGCCACTTCGGAAAAGGTGCTCTCACCACAAAAGGCCATAGGGAAAGCGACCGGCGCAGTCCTCGTCGTTTCGACAACTCGCGTCCTGCCTGCCGAGGTCTGGCCCTGTGGCCAGACGCTTGCTCGCGTTCGACCATGGAGCAGGGAGCAGGGAGCAGGGGAGTAGGAACTGCCCCACAAGGCACTGCAGCACCATCAGCAAACCCCTGGACTCTCGCCAGAAGCATGAAGGTTGGGGTCCAGTCTTCCCAGTATGGATCAGGGGAGCAAGGGGATCTGGAGGCCGGCGGAATGGGCAAACTGGAATGCTGGAGCTGCGACATCCGACCAGGCTCAATGCCCGTCGAATCACGGCAGATGAGAAAGCGTAATCATGAATTGTCGGTACGTCGACAAGTAGTTGCCACATGGACGTTCCAGTTGAGGTTGAGGCCACCTGAGAGGGCCGATGGAATAGGTTGGCGTCCATGGCCTGGG